TGGATAGATGGATGGATGGATGGATGGATGGATGGATGGGTGGGTGGATGGGTGGGTGGATGGGTGGGTGGATGGGTGGGTGGATGGATGGATGGATGGATGGGTGGATGGGTGGATGGGTGGATGGGTGGATGCATAGATGAGTAGATGCATGGATGAATGGGTAGATGGATAGGTGGGTGGGTGGATAAATAAGTGGATGTATGGATTGATGGATGACCAGATGGATGGATGATGATGGATGGGTAGGTGGGTGGATGGATAGATGACTGGATGAATGGATGGGTAGGTAGATGGAGGGATGGATGGATGTGTAGGTGGATGTATGGATGAATAGGTTGAGTGGGTGAGTGGATGGACAGATGGGTGGATGAGTGGGTGGATGGAAGGTGGATGGATAGAGGAGTGGATAGATGGAAAGTGAGTGGATGGATGGATGAGTGGATGTATGTATGTATGGATGGATGAGTGAATACATGGACAGAAGGTGAGTGGGTGGATGGGTGAATGAGTGAATGGGAGGATGTACAGATAGATGAAGTTCCATACAAGACAGCAAAAATGTGAGGTATATCATATTGTAAAATTTAAATGCCCCCAATGAGGACTAAACTTGTAGGATTTACATATTGAACGAGCACATCACTGGTTTGCCTCAGAACAAGAGTGACAGGGGTGCTGCCAAGCCCATCTGGCCCTGCTGGCATCCTCTAACTCAGGCTCACTATAATCCAAGAACTAATTTCAGCTAATATTTTGGCTGCTAACTCAGCCACCTTTTTTGGTTGGGGAGGAGTTTGTTCCCATATCATTATCATGGCAATATCTGAGTAGTAAGTGTTCATCTTTCTGAAAGCTTCCTTTAAAGAAACATGAGCATCACACCATGTTCTCTGTGCTAGATTAAATAGCCAGGGGAGGTGAGACTTGGTGGCTGGTCTGTGGCTGAGCTCTTTGAAGCACTCTAAGGATAAGAAGAGATTGTGGAAAGCATCAGGATGCATTCCAACGTGGAACAGAGATGATGGGCTGAAGTCGGAAAATGTGCAGACCTGGTCTGTGAAGTTTTTTGTAACAGAAACAGCTGTTGTTGGATAGGAGGGAGAGGCTGTGAAGAAACTGAACACCCAAAAAATACGTGCCAAGTGGCCCATGCAGGAAAGACGCGGCCATAGGTGTCTCCTCTTCCAAGGGATATTCACTCTTCTGTTTTCTTTTTCCTAAAACAAACAAACAAACAAAAAACCCTGTCCAGTTATGTGCCTGCTAATTTTTACCATCGTAATGGAGCTCGGGGCCTGCGCTCAGGTCAGCTTGGTTCCGCCTGGCAGAGGCGTCAGGCTCAGCGGTGCCATCAGCGTGTCAGGCTTATGGCAGCTCCACTAGCCCATCGTCTGTGTTCCACCTTGGAATGCGTCCTGATGCTTTCCACAATCTCTTCTTACCCTTACGAGCACTCCAGCTTCTGCCCCATTTTGCAGATGTGGAAATCGAGTTTCCTGTCATAGCTGCAAGGCTAGTCAGTGGCAGGGCTGGCTTTCCACCAAACCGCAAAGCCACCATTTTGCCGTTGTCCTGGCATACAACTGTTCAACTCCTTAGACTGTCCCGAGTGCCCCTGTGTGCTGGCAGCCCTCACCAGTGGCCAGCAATGTAATGAACCATGCCTACGTAAAGAAGCTTGCACAGAAACCTGAAAGGACTAGGCTCGGGGAGCTGCTGAAGGCTGAGTGCGTGGAGGCTCCTGGAGGGTGGCGCCCTGGACGGGCTTGGAGGTGTCACGCTGTCCCCCGTGCCTCGCCCTGTGCCTCTTTTCATCTGTATCCTTTGTGATGTCCTTCATATTAAACCACAAAATGTAACCAAGTGCTTCCCCAAGTTCTGTGAGCTGCTCCAGCAAATTAACCCAGCCCAAGGAGGGGGTCATGGGAACCCTGATGCACAGCCGGCTGGGCAGAAGCACAGGTCACAACTGGGGCCGGTGATTGGCATGGGAAGCGGGAGGCTTCTTGAGGGTCTGAGCCCTCACCCTGCAGGCCTGACGCTGTTTCCAGGTAGATGGCGTTGGAATTGAACTGGGTTGTCTACTTGGCATCTCCTGCAGAATTGATTGGTTGCCTGTGGTGGGGAGAGACCGCACATGCTTCCTGGTGTCTGGGGGCCATGGACATCTGTGTTGACTGTTGCAGGGTCACGGCAGCAGAGGAAAACAGCTTGTTTCCCTTAGTCATGAAGCCTCCAAGTTGCCCCAAGCTTGTGAGAAGCTCACCTGAAGCAAAATTGTGTTGATCAATTTTGGAAAAGGGAAAGTATGAAGTAAAATTGCCTAGCTCTCTGATACTCCTGCCCAGCAAACCCTCAAGATCAGCATCTCCATGGCATCTGCCTGCCATGGCGTGAGGCCCTCCTCTCTCGTGGCCATGTGACACACAGCTGGGAATGGCCCATGGCAGTGTTTGTATTATTGGGTTGGGAAGCCCTCGGGGTGTGCGAGGCTGGTGCATCCCTGAAACAGCAGGAGACGGACTGAGACCAGGGCCTGGGTCTGCTGGGGCTCGGTGACACAGTGCGGCGGGCTGGTGCTTAAACAATGCTGTTCATCTTCAAACAGTCCTGGAGGCTGGGCGTCCAAGGTCAAGACGTCACAGGGCCGATTCCTCCTGGGGCCTCACTCCTTGGCGTGTAGACATAGTTTCTCCGTGTGTCCTCACATGGTCGCCCCTGCGTGCGTGTCTGTGTCCTCATCTTCTCTTCTTATAAGGACACCAGTCCTGTCGGGCTAGGGCACACCCTAGGGACCTCATTTTAATTTAATGAACTGTGTGAAGCTCCTGTCTCCAAAGGCAGTCACACTCTGAGGTGCTAGGGGTCAGGATGTCAACATACGAGTCAGCCCGTGGCAGGCAGACACGTGTGGGCTACCGTACCTGGGTGGTGGGTGGTGTGGGCGACGGGGTTCTGGGTGCGCGGTGGAGGCCAAGCTGATGGAGCTGGACGCGGGCATTGAGTAAAGGAAGAGTGGGGTGCGGCCCTCCCTGAGCGAAAGCCGTCTGCCGCCTCTGTCCTTACTCTCTTCCTGGAAGGGGCTTTGACCTCTGCGATGGGCTGAGGGACACAGCAGCTCCGGGGAATGAGGGGCTTCCCAGGAGCACCACACAGGCACAGCTGTCCAGCACCCCCGCTGGCAGGTCTTTGAGGAGAAGCTGGGGGGGAGGGGGCGCGCCCAGGGCGCAGGGGGCACGCGTGTCTGTGTGGAACAGAAAGGTGACGTGGAGTGGAGGAGCTCTCGGTGGAGTAGGCGCGGCGCCCCGGCACAAAGCCGCCGGCTCCTCAGCGCACCCCGCGGTGTCCGACCGACGCCTCAGCCCCTCTCCCGCCTCTGCCCCTCTCCCGCCTCTGCCCCGCGCCTCAGTGACTGGGGTCTCCTCAAGGAGCCGCGATTTCTTTCTCCATTTTCTAAACGTCTTGAGGCCCTTTCGGAAGAAAACCATGTGACTGAGTGAGGTGGACGCCTGAGCGGGCCGCTGACACTTCGGAACGTGAGATTTCGGCCTCTGATTAGATAGGCGTGACGATAAAGCACGGAAACATTTTCAAAAACAATTTGCTTCCGTGGGCTGTGGTGTTAGAGATCCTGTCAGTCAGGATTCCGGCGCGGGATTTAGAGATTCCGGGAGGACGGAGGCGCGTGGGGAGACGGAGGTTCCGGGGGGACGGGGGCCCGCGGGGAGACGGAGGTTCCGGGAGGAGAGAGGCCCGTGAGGAGACAGCGAGGCCCTGGGGCAGCCTTGCCTTCCTGCGTTGTGCGTCTTCTGTGATCAGACGCCGCAGGCTCCGTGTGTCTCGGGAGCTCCTCAGAATGCAGCACTCAGGCCCCCAAGCCGGGGGAGTCCAACGCCCTCCACGCGAAAACAGCACGAGTGTGGCCCCATCTGTGGAACCAGGGTCAGGCTGACAAGCTCCCAGGGTTTCTCAGCTCCGGCCCCCTCCGGGATGCTGGGGGGCTTGCCGTGGGTTTGCTTGGAGTCTTGAAGGGAGGCTGGTAGCTCCAAGGGCCAGGCGCCGAGTGACCCCACGCCAGATCTCAGGAGTGAGCAACGCAGGGCAGCACCTGAGAAGGGGACACCTGCCAGGTGCGCTCTGAGTTTCGGGGGTACTCGTGTGGGCCACTGCCGCCTCCTGAGTCACTGGCCCCTTTTCAAGCTGCACCTGTGCCTTGGGATGGTGGTCGCCTTCCAGTGTCTTCCCAATCTCCCTCCTCACAGCTGCTCATGACTCTTCCACTGCCCCCTCTGATCTCAGTCCCCACTGTTTCATTAGCTCCCATCCTGGCACTTCCTCACCTGGCACCTCATCTCCTGGCACTTTCTTACCGGTGTTTCGTCACCTGCCGCTCTGTGTCACCTGCTGGCTCCTGCCTGCCTTAGTCTTATGTTTGGAGTTCCCTGCATTCACTCCTTAAGGGTAAGCCCACCTTCTATACTGATGTGAACTTCCCCTCAGAACCAGGGGCACCAGGTCTGCAAAGGCTCCCGGCGTGGCCAGCCTCCAAGTCTGTGCAGCCCCTGGTGTGGCCGGCCTCCGAGTCCACAAAGCCCCTGGCGTGGCCAGCCTCCAAGTCCACAAAGCCTCTGGTGTGGCCGACCTCGCTGTATGAGTTTTCTTGGCCCTTTGCTCTGCTGGCCTGCTGCTGTTCTGCTGCTTTTTGTAAGCCTGGCCGTGGATGCGGAAGGCTCACAGTTTTTAGGGGTTCCACTCGTTTCGCAGACGTTCCAGGGAGCACATTTGTTGATCATCGATACCAGCTGAGCACTGGAGGCTGCACTCCAGAATTAGACCTTTAGGGACCAGTAAATATGAGAGGAGCTGGCTCGGGAAACCTGCTTTCGTTGTAATAAGGAACAAGGCATAAGTATCACAACCAGACAAGTTCTCCAAGCTTCAGCTACTCATGAAAGGCATGCTGTGTCTGATAAGCACGTTTTCACTAGTAGAGGATAATTTTCACGGCCCGTTAGGGTCTCTTGATTCATAATTTAACCAAATACAGTTTCTGGAGCCGAGTCAGCTCTGCAGCCTGGCTGTGGAAAGCTCGGTTGCGTTTTCTGTGTGCTTTGTTCCCTCCGCCACCCGCGTGCTGGCCGCACCTTCTGCATAGCCCCTTCATTCACCAGAACACTGGTCTCTGCGTAAGCTCGTGTCGCTGTCCGTGGAGTTGGAAGGATACCACTGTAAGTAGCATTTTCACACTTCCACCTTTCGGATTAAGTCAGTGTATCTGGTCACCTTCATTTTATAACTCTGGGTGTGGAGAAAGAAGCACCCATTATGCCTTTCAGAATGTTTACAAGCTGACTGTCCTTGTCTGATACACATATGAAAATCGAGTTGCCTGCATTGGAATTCTAGTGAAGTGCTGAAGTTAGAACGTCTAATGTCCTGTGGTCGTATTTGGGTAAGTTGTGGGATGAGGCTTTTCACCCTGTGAGGTTGGCAGGACCCACTGTGAAGGCTTGCGTTGACTATTAGGTTAAAATTGTGGGTGCTGGACCCATGACCCATGGGGTCAAACCCCAGCTCTGCTGTCCATGTCTATGCTGTGCCTCAGTTTACTCATCTGCAAAATGGACTCAGGAGAGCGCCTACCTGCTGGGGTTGATGTGATGATCAAATGAGTTAAATTTGAGGCAGGAAGCTGTGGGTAACTGTTTGCTGTCAGGGTCACATGTGCACATTCTTAGCACCGGCCAGTGCTGGCCACGAGCTCCCATGCTCAGCAAAGGGCCATGTGAACACTGTATGTTCACGAGGCCCTCTGAACATACGGTGAGGTGTGTTACCACACTGACGATCCCGGTAATGAGGTGTGTGGGGATTTTCCACGTGAATGAGAAGGAATAGGAAGGTTCTGGGAGGAGTGAGAGGAAGGTCTGTCATTGACCTCCTTATGGCCACGTGGCGATAGAGGTGACATCCGTGGTCGCCATTCTCTGAGACGCCTTTGGTTGCAGAGAGCTTGAGTCTCGGCTTCAGCGCGCAGCACCTCGAGGGCCCCCCTGTACTAGTGAGCTCCTGCTCTCCCATCCTCCCCCCCCCTTTCTCCCTCCCTCCCTCCCTCCCTCCACACCAGGAGCCTTTGTCCAGCGTAAATCCTAGGAGATGCACAGTGCTGAGGGGAACCCGAACCTTTGGGAGGAGATGCTCAAGAAAAGCTGTGAGTTTGAAAATACAAAAGAGTTGATTGTTGCTTCTAAATTACAGGACAGCATGGCGTCTGCATCTAAACTGGGCTCTCAGCAAATGTTCTGGTTTTTGTTTATTTTTTTGCTTTACTCCTTTATTAAAAATGTTGAAGAAATGAGAAAAATCCCCTGAGCATGAAAACCAATTTCTCAGCGTTACAGTCATATCACATAATTGTACTACTTAATTCACTAAAGGGAAGAACTAGCATTAAGTTTCATTAATGACATTTTTGGCAAGAGATTAGGGATGGTGAGCTAACGCCCCAAACAGGACTCGGTTTTTGTAAGAATGCCTGATCTTTTCAAATGGAACTTGTCACAGACAGTGACGAGAAGCATTCCAGCTGAAACACTGCCCAGGGGACCACATGCCTTCAGGTGGCTCATGGGGTGGCGAGGCTGGAGCTGCGGGCAGCTCGTGACGCTCACGCGGGGTACCACGCTGGGTCACCTGCACCTCTGAAGCCGGGCTGCGTGGCCTTCCCAGCCATTCACCAAGGGTGCCTCCGCCAGACCAGAGCCCCTGACCTTCCCTGGCGGGTCCGGTTGGGGCTGAGGGAGAGGAGGGGCTGCTCGGCGTGTGGCCTCGCAGATGCCTCAGCTGGGAAGACGCCTGGGCTGCAGGAAGGAGTCACAGCACGCCAGACCAGACCACAGGCCTCCTGTGCAGCGGGAACCCCGCAGCAGGACCTGGCTGGGCAGGGTGGCTGGCACAGAGAGGTTGGGGTCATCCAGCTGACAGCGAGGGGCTTCCCAGAGCTGCTGTCTCTGCTTGCAGCCAAGTCATCTGTCTCCAGAAGCACGCTCTGTCCTTCCCCCCACCCCACGCTTTACAGAGAGAGGAAACAAGACACCTTCGTCTATGCCGCACCCCAGGCGAGCACGACGGCTCCCGCCCTTGTCAGCCCAGGAGGGCTGAATTGTAAATCACCCAACAGCTCATTTGAGACCTGCCCTAAACCAACTCCCTTCATGTTAATGTAAGACTCTTTTACTGCCAAAAATGATGCCACTTATTGATACGGATGTTTTTCTTTCTTTTTTTTTGAGACAGAGTCTTACTGTGTCGCCCAGGCTGGAGTGCAGTGACATGATCTCTGCTAGCTGCAACCTCTGCCTCCCAGGTTCAAGCGAGTCTCCTGCGTCAGCCTCCTGAGTAGTTGGGATTACAGGCCAGCTAATTTTTATATTTTTAGTAGAAACGGGGTTTCACCAGGTTGGTCAGGTTGGTCTTAAACTCCTGACCTCAGGTGATCCTCCCACCTCAGCCTCCCAAAGTGCTGAGATTACAGGCGTGAGCCACTGCACCCGGCCGATACAGATTTCTTAATAGTAGCTTGCGGCCACATTGTATAAAATAGACTCCCAGGAGTCACCAAAGTCAGCCCACTTCTCAGGGGTCCAGCCATTCTTGCGCCTCCCTTTGGCCAACCAACAGGGTGACAGGAAGAACTTGGATCTTGTCGGTAACCCCCCACATAGGCACCGAGGAATGAGAGCTAAGCAGAGCCCTGGCACAGTTAGGGCTTGAGGAATATCTCACTTTACAGTGTTACTACTCAGCTATTTCCTTTTGTATACTCCTTTACATAATCATATATTAGTTTATAGAAATAGGGCTTTAAGGCTCCCTTTATATAATCCTCTATATATAATCATATAATAGTTGATAGTATGAGTGCCTAAAGAATATTTCCCTGCATATATACCTATAATTATATCTTAGTTCATAATCGGGGGAATGCCTAGAGTGGACACAGTACAGAGCATTAATTAAGGGATAAGCAGCTTATAATCAGAGGAATGCCTGGAGCAGACACAGTGCAGAGCATGATTTAAGGGAAAAGCAGTTACACCAGGACAAGAATCCATGGCCCAGGCGGCAGCGTTCAGTATCGTAAAGATACCCGCTGTATGGCAGGCTTGGGGCGAGAGCCACTCCTCCTGATAGAGGAGTTGTAGGACCTTGCTCCGGTTCTTGTGGAAGGCTGCCCTCAGACCGGCAATCCACCTTGGTGACTGTGAACTTTATCAGCTCTTGCTTCTGTGCTGCTTGAAAAGCATCTTCCCATAGAACCCACTGGAAGCTGCCAGAAGGTGGCGGTAACCTTGACAGCTCTGTCACTGCTGTGTGACTTAAAGCATCCTCCTATAAATCTTCTTAGAAGTAGTTTCCCATAGATAGAAGTATTGCACACTGCACGCTCCTCACTGAGCACGGCCCACCTTCAAGTCTCAGTGACCTAATGGGGGTGGACCCCTTACTGCACAGGGCCCTTGCCTTCGTGAGAACAGGGCCCTTGCCTTCGTGGGAATGGGCCCCTTGCTGTGCATTGTCCACCTCCTGGCCTAGGTGACCTAATGGGGGTGAACCCTATGTTTTATTGCTCACGACCCTATCACTATCCTTAGAGATGATTTCACTCACTGCCCTGCCCCCCTAACCTATACACAATAAATACTCATGCTTCTGGACATTCGGGGCCTCACCTCGCCTCGCCAGCTGCTCACCGCTCATAGGTGGCGTGGCCCCCCGAGCCCAGCTGCATTTTCTTTGTACTTCTGTGTCCTGTCTCTTTATTTCTCGAATCCTGTGCCTCAGCACAGCATAAGGCTCACCCCACTACCTTGTGGGGGCACTCAGCCCTACATCTGGCTCCCAACGTGCCCTACAGGATCTCACGTGGGTTTTTTCATGGAGGAGCTACTACGGAGCTTAGGGAGGAAGCAGCCTCCTCCAGCCAGGAGAGGACGGCAGGGTTTTCACGACGGTCACTAAACCCAAAGCTTGTACATGCCACATACAAGAAGAAATTAGCAGATCGTGAGCGAGGTTCACATCCCAGAATTGAGTTTTCAAAAATGGTTTTCATTAGTAACATCTTTAAAACATATTTAGATGTTTAGGACATTGAATGATGAGCGTGTGTGTGCACGTCTGACCTGCTCAGCTCCAAGTGGCCCTGGCATTCCAATTCTGTGAGTTTCCTCAGCACCTTACCAGGCGCGCAGGATGGAAAGGCAGAGAGGTTTGGTGCTGACCCCAGAGGCGACCCTGGTGGCTCCTGAGGTCACCGCTCACTGCTTCCGTGAATACAAAGCCTGTTCTGTGTCTGTCCTTGCAGCCTTGTGGATGGAACCAGTGTTTAAGGCTTGATTTCCTGGTTATTCAAAGAGCCCCTTGGAGGATCAACTGAGGTCAGGACTTTAAGACCAGCCTGGGCAACCTGGTGAAACCCCGTCTCTACTAAAAATATAAAAATTAGCTGGCCTGTAATCCCAGCTACTTGGGAAGCTGAGGCAGGAAAATCACTTGAATTTGGGAGGTAGAGGTTGCAGTGAGCAGAGATCACACCACTGCACTCCAGCCTGGGTGACAGAGCAAGACTCTGTCTCCAAAACACAAACAAAAGCAAAGAGGCCGGAGCTCTGGAAACACCACGTGAAATGTGCTGTTTTCCCACTTTCTTGTGAGTCAGGTTAGGGCTGATCTGTCCTAGGTCCACGCACAAGCCCCCAACAAAACGGGGTCATGGTCTCTGTTCCTGAGTGGCTGAGACTTTGAGCCCCTCACCCTGTTTTCCTCTGTAGCTGTTTTGGGGGATGCAGCACAGAGAACAAGCTCCCTGTGCTTCAGGGGTGGTGGCTTTGGGACCCCCTGGTTGCCTCTGGCAGGTGGGTGTGGAAGGCAGGAGGGGGTTAGTGTGTGGAGCTCTGTCTTTGCTGGTGGAAGCTGGCTCTCAACGCCTGTAGCTCTCAGAGGAGCAAACCCAGCATAGAACAGTTTGAACAGAATCACTATGTTTGTGGAGGCTAATGGGACACCGAGGCACTGCCTCTCAGGGCGTGGAAGCAGCTGTTCCCTCGATGTCCCTGATGCCAGTGGAAGGGTGCAGTGGGTGGGCCCACCAGCCATTCTGTGAGCACCTGTGCAGGGTTGCGGGAGGGGTGTGTACTCAGTAAATGATGTTGAATAAATGCATTCTTTTGCTGCTAACCAGATGCATGCTCTAATCACTTCAGCTCACAAAAGGGCACATGTGGTACTCAGACAGCGTGTGGGCTCTCACAAGCAGGCCTGAGCACCAGCCCTGCCACCTTCTCTCCCTGTGGCCTGGAGCATATAATCACAGGAAGAAGAGTTAAAATGGCACTAGGCCACTTGCATGGCCTCGCACATCAGCTGTGAGGCCTGGAACCCTGGGTGTGTCCAGCATGGTGCCCAGCAGCTCTGAGTGCCCGAGGGTAGCACGTCACCTCGGGGCTGTTGGGAGCCCCAGATACTGTCACCTCCTCCCCTTGTTCGGAAGCAGCCGTGGCGCCCAGGGTGGGAGCTGCTGGCTTGGGCCCAGCTCAGCATCTCTTGGGGAAAAGTATCTCCGGCCACGCAAAGCTGTCCCATCACTTCCTCCCTGGAGCTCAGCAGCAGACAGGGCCACAGGCGTGGAACTTCCCACTTTGTTTCTGGAGAGCCAGAGCACGTCCCTCCCTTCCTCTCGGTTTGTAGTTGTTTGAATTTGAGACTTCCTGAGGCTGGAAGGTGTTTTTGGCTTGTCTGTGAGGCAAGGAGGTCCATCCCATGCAGGCCCCCCGCCCCGTCTGAGGAAGGAAACGCCCAGAATTTGCACACAGAGGGGCAGGCGCTGCTGCGGGTTTCTCCAGCACCGCGCATTGTCTGCCTGCTCTTCCAGGCGTGCGGGGCGGTGGTCGCTCGGGCCAGGCACTGGGAGCCCAGGCCTGCGGCAAGGAGAGCTGGGGACTCCAGGAGGCCGGGCGCTCCAAGGAGGCGGCTCGACCCTCTTGGGTTCTTTCTCGTGACTTGGTGAAGCCCAGAGTCACTAGGGTCCCAGGCGCCTGTTTCTCGTGACTGTGCAGCACCCACCCGGCTTTTAACCATCCCAGCAGAGACCTAAGGCTGCGGCTCCAGCATCGGGGCTGCCTTGCCCCTGCGTGAAGAACCAGAGCTGCCTCTGCTTTGTAGACAGGGCACTCGATGGCCGAGAAGGGAGCATCCCGGAGGACCCTGCGCCGGCTATGGTCCCTGCCCCGGAGGCGCAGGGGGGCCGTGGGGCACTCAAGGCCAGGTGAGACAGAAGGGGGCCGCGGGACTTGGGGGCAGGCTTGGGTGTCCCCTCTGCAGGCGGGCGCCTCCCTGGCGTATTTCTCTCCCCACTTGACTGGCAAAACCTGTGCTGCTTGGAGACTTTTTAAAAATGTGGAGATGTGACATCTTTTTTAAAAAAGAAAGAAAAAACAAAGGTGGAGGTGGCTGCAGGGCGTCCCACTCCAGGTCTGTGGGTCCAGCTTTCTTTGTTCGTCGCTGGGTCCGCCTGTCCTGTGGTTCTGCAGCCTGGGCTTAGGAATTTCTGCTCCGATCGGAAAGATGAGCGGATTCAAAGTGGGGGAAACGGCTGTGGCGCGTGTAAACGAGGCTCCCCCGGTTCTCGCGGTCTCTTGGCAGCTGGGTGTCCTCTGGGCCACGGGAGACGTGTTTCGGGTGGGATAAGGGCGCAGAGCTGTCACAGGTGCAGCCCGGGCTGGGTGGACCAGCAGTGCCGTCTCAGGCACCCCACACAGAGTGTCTCAGGCCACCCAAGCCCCTCCCAGCCACTCAGGAACAGCACGTGTGCTCAGCCCCGGGGCACAGCCTCAGCTCTCACAGACACTGCTTCCATTAACCTCAGAGGAGAAGGGCCTTCTGCTGGCTTGAGCTGGAGAGAGGAGCTCGTTGCTGAGTTCCTGTCCCTCCTGCCCTTTCCCCCATCTGGGGACCAAGAACCTGGTGGGCTGTGGAACGTGGGGCAGAAGCTGGCTGGAGCTTTCACCTGGCTCCTCACGGCGCTTGGGGGCTGGGAGCGTTTCTTTCAGGGATGGATGGGCGGCAGCTGGGCACTGGTAGGTGAGCGTCAGGGAGAGGAAAGGGAGGCAGCGAACAAGTCCGGGCCTGGCTGCCCTGGGATGGAGGTCACGGCCAGGACGGGCAAGGTGGGCAGGAGGGTCCCTCAGGCTGCGCCCTCCCTTCTCCCCGCCTTGGGTACGGCAGAGCCTGTAACGTTGAGGAGGACTGCGTCAGTCGCTGCTGGCGGCTGAGCATGAGCCATGTGTGTATGAATGCCCAGGGCTAAAAGAACAGAACCCAGCCTCCCACCCAGTCCACTGACATCCCCCCAACACAGCGCGAGGGAGGCAAAAGGGGGCCATGCGCGAATCCCACACACGCCAGGGTGACCAGCGCTCCGTTCACGCCCTACCACCTTTCCAAAACTGAAGTCGCCAGACCCTGGACATGAGCACGGGGGCTGGGGGGCTTGAAGATGGGGACCCCGGGACAGTCCCTTCCTGTGCAGTGGGGACCCCACGACGTCCCCTTCCTATGCATGAGGACCCCGAGACATCCCCTCACAGTACATAGGGACGGAGATATCCCCATACTGTGTGGGCACCACCCTGTTCCTTGTGGAGCCAGAGAACACAGGAGCCACGCTGAGCTTGTCCCCGTGGCTCTCACAGCAACAGCCGCCCCTCTGCGTGGCAGCACTGGAGATGCTAAACTAGGACTGTCATCCCCTGCCAGTTCTGCAGTGCTCTGGTCACCTGTGAGGACATTGTCCATGACATCAACACTCAGTGAGCCCCGTCCTGCCCTTGGCTGCAATGTGCAGGTGCAGAGGTGTCCCCTTCCTGTAAGGAAATGTGCACAGAACCCTGGCCCCGTGCATGGGAGTAGAGCAGCCCCCGCCATGCCGGTCACCTGGGTGTAGTGAGAGGCAGATTCTGGATCCCTGGGCCTGGGTCCTGAGATCCCATGACTGCCAGCTCCAAAGCACAGGCTGGGGGATGTGTGGCCAGGTGTGGGGCCTCCTCCTCTAGGCTGGGCCATGCAGGTGCGGCTCAGAGCCCAGGTCCTCTCTGCCTGACTGCCTGGGCCGCCAGCGTGACCCGCCAGGCGTGGATGCCTAGGGACTGAGCTGTGTGCGCCCCCTCCCGGCCCTGGCTGTCTCCCTCGGCAGAGCTTGGCTCCCCGCGGGTTTTGCTCCCAGCATGTGAGTCCGATTGGAAGGTAGAGGAGCCACGGGTGTCCCTTCCTGTTTCCAGGCCTGGACCGGGCAGGCCCCTGTGGAGGTCGGGGGGAGATGCCTGGCTCACATTGGACCTGGGGAGCTGGGCCCAGAGTGCAGCAGTGGAGGCCTCATCTGAGGGCTTGGCAGTGGGGGCTCCAGCAGAGAACATGGGGCTGACGAGGGGGGCCGAGGGATGAGGGTTCGGGTGCCCTGGAAAGAGGTCTAGGGACCTAGTGGGCTCCGAGGAGGGCAGCAAAGCCCCAGTTGTGCCTGGTAACAGGGGCTGTGCCCACCTTGGGAAGGGGATTTCTGGGCTGGGGCCAACGGCACAGGGTGTGGAGGCGTAGGAAGAGCAGGTGGCGGAGGCTTCTTCCCCGATGTCAGCCGTGCAGTGGAGAGGAGTGGGCGCTGGGCCGAGGGTGGCCATGTTCCCTGGGGCCTGGAGCCTGCAGGTTGCAGGAAGCCACAGAACT